AGTAAAACAGCACAAAAAAAGGTAAAAACAATACCGTTACTATCAGTACTATGAATCTAAACTCTTAGCAGATTCAAAGGACAATCTAACCCAAAATTTGCAGGGTTTTGTCATAAACACTGTATGTGGCAAACAAAAATATGTATTGCAACCTTATATTTTTTGCTAATTTGGCTCAAATTCTTGCTGTGTCTTTTTTTTTATTATTATTCTAAACTGGGCATACATGTCTTCTTTTTCTTTGTGGCTCAGCGGTTGTTATTCTTCCTCCTTTTCAGCTTCTTATGGAACCAACACCTTCCAGGGAAGGAATGCTCACACGAGCCTGATCAGCCAATCAGAGATGTGTGGCCCTGTTACACTGGCATAACAAAAATGTATTCTTTTGTTTCATTAAGGTTTTACTGTTGATTGTGAACAGTCCATCACTGTGAATAAAATGTTTGAAGTTAAGTCTGTTTCAATTTCAAGGTTTCAAACATGTAATCACAAGACAACACATTCAGTTTTAACACAATAATGACCATCTAAGGTTCAGTATATTTTGCAGTGTTCAAGTAACACTTTAATAGTTCTGAGTGCATTTGGTCCCTCTCTCAATTAGTGTTGAATTAGCTCTCTACATAGTTTATATCTTTCTCCAGTTGTTGTTGTAATAACTCTAAAAGAGTAAATGTACTTTGACACAGCATATTTAACACTGTGGAATTTATTTTTTTAGACATATTCTTTGGTATATATGAGCATTCAGATAAAACAACTCAGCTCAACATGTTATGGTTAAAAAATATTTAAATTTCAATGACTAAGGACTTGGTTGTTGCAAGAGAAGAGGTTGTTTCAGATTAAAAAAGAGTCAAACAAGGGTAGATTTAAGGCCTTTAGGTGCAAGACTATGGTGTGTTCATGAACAATGCAATACCCAAAGACTGAGTGGACCAAAGAATTAGGTGGGACAAACCTTTTGACTGTTGCTAAATTAGGCAGCTATACCATGAGATCACCTCTGTGAACCCAAATACATAATTGAGAAATACATCACATTCAAACCCAGTGTGCTTGAGGTGATGAGCACAGTTCTAAGGAATTTACCACAAGGGTGAGTGAATGAATCAGGTTTGTCACTGCTGTCTGAAACTCCTACAGTATGAGGAGCCATATTAAAGAACCCTTTGCCCGCATTTTTCTCTTTTTTCCCCCCTTATCATCAGTCACATGATGAAAAAAGATGACCAAGGGATTGCCCTCCTGTTGGATAAATGGCACGGTGGCATCACTCTGTGGAATACCCACTGGTAAACTGCTGTTACTGGAGAAATGGACGTGAGCAAAACTGTTACTCGCTGCTTCAACCGACTGAGCTTGCTCATCTTTTGGACTGCATTCATCACAGAGGGAGGGGTATGGAGTTTCATTTACTGTACGAGGACAGATAGGGATGAGTCAAGGGTAAGAAGACATCAAATACCCATCACCTATCACCCTAATTTATTTCTTTACTGAAGCGGATATCCATCAAATAGGTGACCAGTACAGTAAGGGCATTGCTGCATAATTCAGTCCATTTGTTGGTAATATTGTATGATCTGCTTTACATAAGTATGCCACTATACTAAACATTCAAGTTTAGTGGTTTCATGAGAATAGAGACAAACTAGAATGATTTTATACCTTAGCTGGCTTTAGCTCTTTAGCATAAGCTTTAAATGCGCCTTTAGGGAGTTTGAGAATTACTATGTTTTAAAAATAAAATCAGGGTAAAGGAGTGATGGGAAATGAGGGCTCTTTGTAAGATTTAAATGCCGCACTTCATTCTCTGCGACACACTGTTGGTAATTTATTGCCACAGCCATTACGGTTATTAGAAAACTCACTCAGGAAGACAAATAGCAGCCTGGCCGGTCGTTGGTCTTCCATCAGGGCTGACAGGGGAGACGTGGTACTCTTTGCTATTGACATTTGCAAACCTAAAGCTAAGCTCTGCTAGATCTATTGCAATTCAAAACCCAATCTAATGAGCTAAATCACCTCTACCCTCAGCACATAGCTTATTTTCATTTCCTTTATCAAAGGAGGAGTAACCTGGTCAGCAACAGACTACAGCCTTAAGAGACTGTTATTTCATACAGAGATTTTGCTCTCTGCAGACTGATAGATTAAAATGAATCTTGCCATAAATACTTTCTATCACAAAGGGCCATTAAGAGAGAATGTTAGGAGAGTCTAAATGGAGGCCATTACTTCTGTATGACTTAGAGAGGAAAGGAGGTAAAGAGGGAGGAGATTTTAGACAAAAGCTCTATGTGCCACTGTAGTTTTTCAAATATAACATTTCTGAGGCTTGTGAGTCATATTCCTCTCAGTGGCCCAGAAAGAATGACGAATGAATCCAGTTGTTTTGCGGCTATCCAATGTGAAAGGTGACACGGCTGTCAGTGATGGCGTTGGCCCCATAGAAACACTGTATTCTGTGGACAAAATAAGAGCTTTTAAATCAAAACCTGTAAGAAAACAACATTTAAAAGTTTGTTTTTTTTGTTTTTTTAACCTTGCAGGTCATTTCCACCACTACTATTTTGCAGTCTTGCTTTATTTGTACCTGACGTTTGTGGCTACAAAAAGGATCCATCTACAGTTGAACAACCCTAACCCATCTCAAAGCATTTTAATCCCACTTTGACAATAGAGGAATTAGAATAATTTTCTATGATAAAGCAGTTACGCAACTCTAACACATGTTACCTATTAACAGGAGGTCATTAGAGCTATTGATTCAATTTTTTAATTGCTCACACTTTGGGTAAAGTACCAGATCAACAATCAAAGGAAATTCAGTGTAATACCATTTAACTAAGTTTGTCTATATAGTGCGTATTCACAACACATGTTAACTCAAAGCACTTTACAGAGACAATTCAATCAGTTTATACTGTACAGTCAGATTGCTCTTATGATCTTAAAAAAACAGCTTATTATATCAAGTCACTGACTTGCTGGTCACGCCCCTCCTGGATGAATATGTGGTGACAATATCTGCTTACATTTCTCATTGACTCTACATCAATCCCTCACACTGAGCATCCAGGCAGCTGCAGTGTAGAGGAAAAGCTCCCTTTAACAGAAAGAAACCACCAGCAGAATCAGTGTGAGGACCTTCTGCTGATGCAAACTGGGGGTTCAAGTAGAGAGAGGCAGTCATACAAAAGACAGCACACATACAAAAGGTAATGGTACTCCAGCTTCACAGTTGGATCTGTCTAGGAAAGAAACCCCTTTTTCTTCAGTTTGGAGTCACAGCCAAAAATGAACAGGCCAGATGATGCTAATATGACGTGAAAAAAGCAAAAAGAACAATAACGTATTTGTTGAACTAAAACATACTGCAGAATGGGAGCATGGAGATGGCATGAAGCAGAATTTTGAAAGGTGTTCCCTTTGTCTTCCAGCAGCCTAAACCTATAGCAGCATAAATGTAGAAAATATCTCAGCATATGCTGACCATATTGAACAAGGTATGAGAAGAGCCAAGGATACAACAAGGATACAATACAGCTCCTACTTCTCTACTCACCCTGTGACAAAGCAAACATCACTTTGTTTTTAACTATAAGCTTTGTCCAAAAAAAATTAAGCCTAGCCTTGTTGAAGATCAAATGTCAATACTGTAATGGGAGCGACATCCGCCTGACATCACATCCCTGCGACAGTGTTTACATAAGCAGCAGACTCACGTTCAACTCTCCCTTGCCTCTGGCTTTTTGGTCTTGATTGGGGAGACATGCAATCCTTTTTATTAGCTGAAGCTAGTTACATAGCCACAAAATCCCATCCGGAGAATAATCTGTGTTTGCTGGATCAAGCCAGACTGCACACTGCCTACAATTCAGAGTGAGCTGAACCTAGGGTCTTGTTTTTCCTGCATTTCAAATCAAGTCAAATGTGGTGTTTTATGAACTCGCCTGCTGAAGCAGATTAGTCTCTGTGAGAGCTGCCAGTTGAAAGAGTGGACTGGGTTCTCCTTTTCTCCTAGATGGACTGCACATAACCAAGCAGTGT